TGATATAAAATCGCTTTCAGGAAATTGTGAAAAAAAAGAAGGTGCTTGAAAAAGAATTGGTTGAGAGAGAAAGATTGGCATATATAGATCCGGAATTAGCAGAAAAAGAAAAAATCAAAGGAAATGAATTGTTCAAACGAGGTCAAATTTTGTTTGCCTTTGAATTATTTAATTATATTTTTTGTTTGCCAAAAAAACTGTTGATGAAATTAGGATACTGTCCCCGAATTTTTTTAAGAATTTTTCTGAATTTCATGGTACAATTCAAAAGTTCTCATATATCGGAAGATATTTAAGCACTCTTCCAACTACCTGAAATCATTGTGCCCTTTGAAAGTGTTTAGTTCACCTGCAATTTATAATTTTTTCCCAGGTAAATATCCTGAGGCTATGAAACACTATAACGAAGCCGTTAAACGGCATCCAGATAATCCAGTTCTCTATTCTAACAGAGCAGCTTGCTACACGAAGTTGATGGATTTCCAAAGAGCTCTTGAAGATTGTGAGACGTGTATTAAAAAGGATCCGACTTTCAGTGAGTTTTTTCAAAATTTAATTTACAAAAGAGTCTGTTAGCATATCGCTATTGATTTTTTTCTTTGGTTAATTATAAACTATTTAGTTATTTTAAGTTTGAAATTAAAGCGTGCATTCGTGTAATTGCTTTTTTGAAACATATGAAAGAGTACAAATAATAAACATATTCAGCTCCTCGCGAATCAGTCCAGGCTTGCGCACTCTCTTTATCGCATAATGTAAATTCACAAACACACTAAATTCTAATACGTTTTTTGCATCATTCAGTGAACTCGCTTCATCTTGTTGTTGCGCCCAAACGCATTCAGGGGAAAATTGATACATGAATATAAATATGCATTAAAAGATATTTCAGTAAAAGCGTACATCAGGAAAGGAGCAGCATTGATAGCTATGAAAGAATATGGCAGAGCTCAGAGTGCTTATGAAGCAGCGCTTGCTTTAGATGCCAACAATCAAGAAGCTCGTGATGGTCTTATGAATGCAATGAGCAATAATAATGAAGATCCTGATGCTGCTAGAGAACGTGCTTTAAGAGATCCAGAAGTGCAAGAAATCCTAAAGTAAGTTTTGAGCGGAACATCGTAACCATCATATCATTTCGCTTGTTTACACAACAGTTGCTTCAATCGGTAATTTATTGCAGAGACCCTGGTATGCGACTGCTTTTAGATCAAATGAGCCAAGATCCCGGAGCGGTGCGTGAACATCTTCAAAATCCAGACATACTGAGAAAGCTAATGAAATTGCGTGAAGCAGGAATCATAAAGATGCGATAAAACTGCTTTTCACACATTGCTTAATTGTCGATGCTATTGAACTAAAGCACTTGTTCTTGTTTTTGTTAGATCTTTAGAAAGGTTCTATCCTTCACGTCCATTAGGTTCCAGACATATCAGTATCATACAAATGAAACATAATGTAATCATAAATCTGTGACGTTACAAATAATATGCATTAAATATATGAGAGTCCTTTTAACTTTTGATCATTACCAGTAGTTTTCGAACTGCGTTTTATTGCGTTTGTTTTGCTTAATCGTCGTATTTAATATAGATTTCTCTCTTTGTTAATTTTTTATGTCTCCCTTGCAATAAAGTTGTTTTGGTATTTTTTACTTGCTGTTTTTTAAAGCATTTTAAAAATGAGCACGAAATATCATTTGGTGTGAGTATTGAGTTATTAAATTTTTGTCAGTTCATTGTGAAGAGAGCTTTGGAAAACTTATGTTGAGTATAAACCTTTATTCAAGTTTCGGAGTTTGGGCACACAGTTTGGAACATTTGCAACAGAGTTTGCGACGTAACTGAGAGAAGAAATTGAAGGTGCAGTCGTTCGTATACTTCATTTAGCTGACAGGAGCATTCAAATACTTCCCGAAACTATAAAATATGTTTGGTGAACTTTTTTTCAGAAATCTCATATCAGAAACTTCTGGTGTGATTAATATTACTTAGATATAAAAGATAATTCTACCAAATAATTAACATATTCAGCTCTTTGTGAGTCAATCCACGCTTGCGCACTCTCTTCATCGTATAGAGTAATTGCGTCTTTGCCAACGAACATACCAAATTCTAATGCGTTTTTTGCATCAGTCAGCGAACTCGACTTATCTTGTTGTAGCGCTCGAATGCATTCCGGAAAAAATTTATATATAAATATGTATGTGCGTGCTGTTTTGCACTTTTTAGCATGGAATAAAATGACTTATTATTAGTAAATTTATTTTAATTATTAGTTAATCAAAAGTTGAGAGGTCAAAAATAATTCCGCATTAGATGTAATAAATTGGTGGATGTTTTACTTGAAGCGGTCGCGTGAGCTTCGTCAGTAAATCACATTTATTTATGTTTAGCATTGTAATTAATGCATTTATTGCATAATCACATAATCCGATAATGGCTGCCTCCTTATTCGATGTTCTAAGTGATTCCTTAAGGAAATATACAATAAATACTGCAAGTGAAGAGATCTGAATCACATGAACTTTCAGGGTTAGAAATAAGATTCAAAAATGCTTACTGATGCAGTAAAACGTCTAATGTATGGTTATAGTAAAGTGAGGAAACTATCTGAGAACTTCCTGCGATTTCGTTTTATTATCGTATTTTGAATTAATTTTTTCATCATAATTCATTAAGTTTCAAAGTAATAAAGTGTAAGCTTAGAAAACTTTACTTTTTCCATCGAAAAATATCTCTTAAACTTTTGTATTATTTGCAAGAAAGAAGTGAAAAAATGTTAAATTATGCATAAGTCAGCTACAAGCGCCATATAATTAATGTAAACAGTAGCGATTAATTGATAATTAGATTTTAAATCTGCGCCATCAGTCAGTAATCACTTCTAAAAATTAAATGAATAATGATACAAGTAAAGAGTCCTAGCAGTTAATTAATAATTTGAAAAAAAGAAATCTTCTTACGAGAATAAAAAACGTGATTAAGAAAAATCTTAAACAAAATTACTTGAAGTAATAGAATTCTCGGGAATTGATCCATACATCCGTTAGCTGAATCAGTCTCAGAATATCTAAACTACTACTTTTATTCTCATAAATATTGGAAGGAGCACTGAGCAAAGTTTTATAATTGTGCAAGTATCTGGCCTGCATAAGAGAACAAATTCACTGAAGTCGTTGCTGATCCTTTCGATACCATTCAGCTGGAGTGATTTGAGAGCGCAAACGAGTTGCAGCATAATGAAGCATAACTTATGCTCGTACTCCTCACTGAAACTCTAAAACAATCCTTGAATTGACTTGTAACTGAAATCAGGATAGATAGTATAAAAAATACAAGGACATTCAATACACTTCATTTATAGATATTTCAAGGTTGCAAACATCTTGAAAGATCGCTCATAGCTGAGCATTTTTGTAAATAAAAACAATAGATATATATAATTAACAGTATATATAATTAATTATAATTAATACTAAACAATAGCATATATAATTAATTTCAATGAATTAATTTTTTTTAATTATTTAAATATTATTCTTTTGAAGTGCAAATCATTCACTACTGCAAAAAGATTCTTATATAAAAAATACGAAAGTTTATAGAAATAGAAAAAATACGAAATTCAAAATCAGTACTGTTTGTTGATTATTCGTCGCAAAAGACTGAAATGTTTGCAAGCAATATCGTGGAATGATCAAGAAGCGATATTTTTGAATATTGCGACTTCCTGGACAGTTCCGAAGTAAGTTTTCTGCCTAAAAATGTGAAAATAACCAAATTTAGCCCTTTATGGCAGATTGAGTGGGATCAAATTTTAAAAGCATTAAGTCTGTAAACCTGTATCTATCTGTAAAGCTGAATCAGTCTGTAAAACTGTGTCAAAAATTTTACACGCTAGTAAATTTAATGTTGAAGTAATCAGATTTGATAGCATTTTAACTTTATTATTACTCGAAAAAATGAATATGTCTGAGAAATAATTAAAAGTAACAATGATTGTATGCATGGAAAGCCCTGTTTTATTATCGAAGAATTGTTCGATAGAAACAAAAATAACTTTATAGGAATAAAATCATAAATCGAGTAGATAATATAACTTGATTTTGTTAATAATAGCAGTGATAAAGTCATTAATACCTCATCTGCCTGTACTTTCAGTTCAACGAGAGTTGGTGGATCCCACATCTTTCTATCAGATAATTCCGATTTTAGTAGACTGTAATATTCTCTGAATACAGGTTCAGCCTGAAATCTACTTTGCTGACATAGTTGTCAATCATCGATCACATAATTTTAAGCCAAGTAATAATTCTAAGATTAAAAGTTGAACGGGTATTGTTGAATACGTGACCGTAGTGAATAAGGGCTGATTTTTTAACTTTTTCCACAATCAGTTATTGCTGCTAACTTTCTACGCAAACTTAATTTATCGTTGAAATTGAAGTTACTAATTATATTTACGTCATGATTACATTACCATCACGCTAACTGCAGATGTCAGAAAATTATCGTGTGGAATAAATGCATTGAAAAAATACGTAGAATATTTTGTAAATACTGGTGAAGGCGATTCAAACACTAAATCATTCAATTTCAATCTGAAATTACAAAATATTAAAGTTATATATGAAAAATATGCAATTTCTACTGAGAGAGGCAAATATTTTTCTTGCTTTTCAATACTTTTAATAAGCCATTTCTGGAATATTTTCGATCTTCTTAAATGTATAAACTTTATTCCTGATAAATAATTCAAAACCTGCTAGCATACCTTTGCAAAATACTTTTTGATATCGTCAAATTTCCGTTGCGAAAAAATTTCGATAGATGTAACGAAGCATATTCTAGTAGCTCAAAGTGATTTCCAGTCATCTGTAAGCAGACTATCCGAACTTTGACCCTATTTAAGATTTTAGTGTTGACTGATATTGGTTAGAATCTCAATCCTTCCGTATTAGAATGGCAAATTACAATCTTCCATCTTCTCATCCAATAATTTTTTTTGAGACTTTTGGTAACGCAACATTATTGACTACGTTTAATGTGAATCTATTAGCAAAAATTGAATATTATTTTCGCAACATTCTTAAGAAGTTGAAAATAGCCAACAAGAATTTTTGAATTGGCAACCTGTTTGTAAAGATTAGCAATCAATGATGAATCGTCTTCAGAAATTGCAGTGCTGGGACTTCTCGGCTCTGATGGTGGTAGCTGAGGAGAATGAGACGGTGTTTGCATTGACAATTTTAACTTATTGTAACTTTTCGTCGAAGCAAATTGCATCACGTGACCTGAAGTTCTTGTATATACTTTTCACATTTAATGATATTTAGGCACATACTAAAAAACACGTAAAATGATCCATTTTCCGATATTCAAATTTACAAAAATTCAACGCTTCGTTGATTAGTTTTCTATAGTTTTTGCAGCTATTTTTTCAAATTTAAATATTTTTTCACTGCATCATAAATTTTTATTTATAAAGTCAAAAATTAGATTGAATTTCGAACAAACTACATTGTGACGTATCATCACAATTTCGTGCTTCTTCATGCTCGAAAACAGGTCTCGGTCTGCTTATGCTACGTGTACACCGACGCTGACCCAACGCTGATTCATAACGTTGAAGAGCTGTACTACGAAACGGCTGTTGCTTTTCGTTTCCTAGCTGCAGTTCAGTACGTCAAATTTCAATGTTGAATTTAAGAAATACTACAGCTTTGGTTACCATTTTCAAGCAAAAAATTTTTGAAAGTTACATCAAAATAAGTTTCATTTTTTTTAGAATCAGCACTTATGAGTGTTGGCGACATCTAAGAAAATATAATTAGGTAAATAAGTATCTTTTTTCATTATCTATATAATGAATTGATGAGTATACAAGTGAATTAACAACTTCAAACATATTTGGAGGCTTCTGAGATATTGAAGTTGCTGATGATATTGGTGGTGATGGCGGAATCGATGAAATGCCAGACATTGTTGGCGAAGGTGATTCTACGTCAGTACCAATGTGTGTTGTGTTCACTTGTGTGCTCCATTGTTTTGGCAAACTATGACGAGTACCACGTCTAACTGCTGGAATAGATATCGTCAACGCTTGTAAGTGGCGAGGCTGAAAAAAAGGAAACTTCAATTAGTATAAATTTGAAAAATTCCTTGTCTAAAATTGATAACCACCAATGCAGTATTTCTTTTTTAAAATTTTGATCGCACTACAATTCTTATATTTCATTAATAAATTACCGCAATAAAAAAGCAAGAAAAATATTGTGATGAAAAATTACCTAGAAAGAGTTTATTGACTAGTTTAATTCCGTCGATGCTTTGAAAAATTTCAAGTAAGGTTAAAAGCCTTACGATTATATCCAGTTGACGTACTTTATTTTTTTTAACTCTATAATCTTGTTCGAAATATGCAAATTCAGCTGTCTGATCAAAATGTTCAGCGTAGCATCCTTGATCTGATTCATAACCGCTTGTACCATATCGCATGCGTCGTTCTCGTTCTTCTTGTTGTCGTAAGACGTGGTCACTGGCCATCTAATCCACGCGTAAGTGAGTAAAAAGTTTAACTTATGCAGGAAATTCAATTGCAGTTTTTCACTCTCAGTCTTTAGTGAATCAATGGGAATCGATATTACCTGAGGCCCTTACTTGACTTTTACTTTCAAAAGTTTTCAATCTCTCATAAATTGCACCATTGAATAGCGAAGAATAAATTCTCACCTGGAATCTACTGAGAATACTTTTGAACTTCTTCAATCGCAAAGGGTCATCCAAACCTTTTTCAATTGGTGGCCGTGGTGATGAATCCCTACGACATTTTCATTTTGTACAAGTAATTTTGTATTTTCATTAATTTGCTATTATTAACTTAATAAATTTCACTCGTCTGCAATAAATATTAAAACAATATTTTTTTGGCTGAAATTATTATTTACATAAATTTTACTTAAAATCTTTCAAGATAAATCTAATCTAACCAATAAAAAATTTACTTGTAAAGTAATGAAAAGAGTAAAGCTTTATCAGCATTTACAGTGAGTTGATCTGCCAACAAAAGCAGTGTTTTAAATTAATCTTAACATTAAAAGTACACGTTACGCCTGCAGACGTGAAATAATACGCTAGTCGTTTTCTTTTTAAGTGCTGTGTATATTCATTAAAAGATTTACATAAATTTATCATAAAAATATCCTTCAAATATGTTACCTAATCTTAGATTCAGAATAGGCCATTTCTTGTTTCTGTATAGTGTTGTTCAGCTCACTGATGGATACATCTGCTTCAGCTTTATGTTTCTGCAAATATTTTTTGTACATGCAAAAATAGAAAATTTAGAATTTGTTGCAGAAATTTTATGATATTTAAAACAATCGTTGGTTATTGGTAAAATTTCATTACTGGATTCCGAGGGCATTGCTTGCAATTATGCAAATTTTTCTAGCAATTGCTAATTTTGTACAAAATTGACTGTCGAATAGTGATGAAACTGTATTGAAAAGCTAGACTAGAAAGATAGACTTGTTTTTTTGAAAAAATAATCCATCAAAGAGAATATGTTATTATGATTAGCGAAAATATTTTAATACAATTTTTAATTTTTGAGTCGCTCATTTCAAATTTGTTGCTGCGCAGAGCAATAAAATTAATTAGTTTAAGCTGTGTATTACTTGCATTTAAGAAATTTGTGTAATGTCGCATGTTTCATCTGTCAGTTATTTTCTTCCGAAATCTGTTTTAACTTTGATTAAAAATTTTCTTGCTTTTTCCAGCTTGTCTGACATTTTTTAACATTCTGAGATAACAGACTTACATTATTACTTATGGATTGCTGTGGACTATACAGTACTTTCGTGCATGTGCCTATATTGTTATTTGATACGACATGACGTGGCTTGGGTTTCAGGATTCCCTCGCGAGGGATTTGTACTTCGCTAGTAATTTGTGGAGGATCTGTGCGAACTTGCGACAATTTCTCACTTGATAAACTTTGATATGATTTAAAAGCCGATTTTGAAGATGGCCAAAAGATGGGAGCAACAATGCGGTCGCGATCCAATTTCTGCTCTCTACTATGTACGAGGTACAACAAAAGACGTAAAATTATGAATAAAATTAATTTTATGAACAAATATTTTGTTACTAAAAAGGTTTGGATTAAAAAAGAGTATTTTACTTATTTATTATTCACTGATCAGTTAGCGTAAAATGTTTATTAGAGTATTCAAAGCTTGATAAAATGAACAAGTTGACGAAAAGTACTGATTTGAATTGGGCAAAGCGGATTCCAGAAGTTTCAGGAAGCTTTCATTAAAAATTACTTAGCCTGAGAGTATAACGGATTAGTGCTAGTAACAGTATGGCCAGAAGTACGAAAATAACTCGATGGCTTGGCTACCGGTGGAGTAATGATAAAATTGCTGAGAAGGGATGGTTGCTTGCGGTTTTTGTGGAATGCTTGTCCTGGCAAGAGTTGTTCTCGAGCGTAATCGTGTTCCTTTCCTGGCGTATGGCGAGGATCTTCGATCGTAGCCAATAAATCCATCTGATCAGATAACTTTGATCCGAATTAGAACTAAAATAACCATTTGTTTCAACAACATCACAAAAAAAGTAAAGGCACATAAAAAATTTTCCAATATTTATTCTTTCATTTAATAGTAGCAACAAATCAGAAACTCTTCAATTAAGATGGTTGCAATTTTACAAGAATTTAAATCAAATTTTCATTCTTTAGAACAAGATGTTAAACATGAGAATAATGCATCTATATAGACCTTCCCTTGTGGATTTGAATCAGACCAAATCATAATTATGTATTTTTGTTGTGCTGTGGTGATTTGTTGTCTATTAAATTGCTAAGAAGTTCTAAATGAAGTTGATCTGTTTGAAGTAATAGTAGATCAGTATTTAATATAGGCTTCATAGCTCGCCGTTTGAGATTTACTCGAAAAATTGAGTTAGTCAAAAATGAAACAAAATGATTATAAAACTGAAACTTAAAGTATTATCTATGAGAAACAGTAATATTCTCTTATTAATATATACATCATTATCAACAACTGAATTACAGTAGAATCCATACAGTCTACGGTGGAGATTCAAAAATACCGTAATATGAGGTCTGCAATTTATTTTATTACAAATATATTTTCAAACATTTGCAAATAGTAAAATTTATACATTTATTTTTAAAAATTTTGAAAAGAATCATTTTTTTTTACGTTTCCAGTCTTCCAAATATACGAAGATTCGATTAAAAAAAAAATAGTTAAATTGATAGACCATTCTGTGATAGACTTTGGTTATCAATTAGTCTTGGCATATTAAATTTAATAATTCGAATTCTGATGTAATGGAATACTTAAATACAAATCTTAAAATGATGCAAAACATATGCTTTAGATGGATATTTATTGCTTTCAGTATGCATTAAAAAAGATCAAGTTCGTTCTGAGTTCATCAGTTTTTTGTTGAATACATTTATCGTTTACAAACATGCTTTGCATTATTTTAAGATTTGTATTTAAGTATTCCACTATACTGATTCTTACTAACTGGTAGTAGAATCAGATCAGAACGAACTTGATCTAAGGACAAACTTACATTCCTAAATATATGCTTTTGCTTGTCTATTTGCATTTTTAACAACGAAAGTGACGAATTAATTAAAGGAGACGATAAGCAGTAATGCGCAAACAGACCAAAAAGATAGCTTACTGTAATAGATTGAATTAAAGCAATTATAAAAGAGATAATTGTTTAGAAATGCATAGATTTCGATGATAAGTAATGTGTGCTTGCAAGAAACACTGAGGATGTGCTCCAAAAGTAAACAGTATTGTACTGAAAAGAATGAATAGAAAGTAACATAGTTATTTGATGCTTACAACTGAGAGAGTTTACTGCTCTGAAGATGTTTGCAAATATGATGATGCTACTCATCTTCAAAAGCAAGCTAACTAACTGCTAGTGGAATCAGATTAGAACGAACTTGATCGTAGACAAGAACAATCTTGCGTACTTAGATATATGCTTTTGCTTGTCTCTTTGTATTTTTTACAATTTGTCACTTTTTTATTTGAAATTGTGAAAAGTTTGTGAATTCTATCCAAATATATGTGTGTATATTTAGATAGAATCTGCAAACTAAACAACTAACAAGATGAATAACAGGACTTTTTTTTTATAAATAATAACAGAAACAAATTAGCGCAGAATAGACAATATATTGTTAATAGCTGAGAATTATATTCGAAATTTAATTGAGTGAAAAAATGCTAATTCAATATGTAAATATGTGACATTGCGTATTGTTGAATTACATTTCCTCCAAGCAAAGTGGAAGATTTGTTTGCAGGAAAATACTTGTGATGTTACGAGCATAAAATATGCACAAGTGATAAGTCCTCCTCAATTGTAGCCAGAAGGAAAGTATCAAAGCAGAAAACACAGAATACACTTAAGCAAAAACAAAGTTGAGATGACGAGAGAATTTCCTCAGTTCAGCAAAATACAGAAGTCTTGTTAGTTCACATTTTCGAAAAACCTTTTAGTGTTATTTTTATTCAGCTTTTTCTTATAAATAATTTATAATTAATGGCAGTCTGTTTTATTTTTTCAATAGTTTAGCAAATTCAAAGAGGTCATGAAGGTCAAGTGGAACACGTAGTCTTGCATCACTGAAAAAGGATCTAAACTTCTTAAGACCATAAATGTTTGTTAATAAAGCTGCGAGCAGTTGTACACGCAACTACTAATTACATACTTCGATGACTTATGTTTGCGAACAACTTGACAAGATAACATTCTAGCAAAGTTCTTCAAAGCAAGTCTTGCTTTCCAACGAGCAACAAATAGCACAATACTTGAGTTCCTCCTAGTGGAATTTATTTATTTTGATCAAAACTAGCTTGCTCTATCCCGAAAGTACTGCTTCAGAAACCAGAATTAAAAAGAGATACATTCACGTAATGTTCAAGTAGGTTATGTACGTGGATGATGCAAACATGACTCATTAACTGGTCAATTAGGCCAATTATTGTTTACGAGGAGTTTAGAAAGAACAAAAATGAGGTGAATGTTAGCTGTGATAGAAAAGTCAAGCGTTGTGAAAGTGTTGATTTGAGAAATTCCGAAGCAGTACTGAAGCCATGATTTGTTTTCAAACATTTTTTTCGCACAAATTTTTTTAGAGGTCAATTTCAATCCAAGCTGTTTCGCATCTCTTCTCTGATCTGTTTCTGATCTCCTCATCCAATCAATACTCTAATCAAGTGCGCGCCGCACATTTCTATCTTTCGGGTTACAGTGCAAAAATATGCGAAATTGAGTAAATCAAAGATAAATAAGTAAAATTGAAACTGAAATTGAAACTGAAATTGAAAACTGAAAAGCGCTTTTTACTTTTGCTTAAGATTGACAAAAATGAATGAAAAATGTGGCATAAATTCAGTGCTGAAAAGACTTCATTCAATCATCTGACAATTTATGAGCTTTGATTAATAAAAAATGGCGCACTGCAATTCACTTTTGAAATTTTGAAAATTTTTAAAAACAAAAACAAAAACTACTAAGCCTTCCATTAAGTTCAAAGGTCATTTGGCTGAAAACCTTTTACATTGAAAAATTTATTCAATAGACTACTGCCACTAATTGACAGTGACTATTTTTTATCATGCGTTTTCGTAGGATATATGACGTGTGTAGGATATATGACGTGTGCATAATGGATATAGGGCTGTAAGCGTTGACAATGAGACGAAGCGCTCGATACTGCTTTCAAATTGGTTTGAGGTTGAAATTATTGCTTTCAAATTCGTTTTGCGTTACACGTAAAATTGTTAATAGTTTCAGTATGAGTTTATGTCTGAGTTTCTTTGAATTTTAACTCATTTACGTAAGAAAAGTTGCTTACTATTATGGTTGATTGTGGTCTTGTGATTGGCTGCCGTTAAATTATGATGCACAGTAGTATTGATTAGATTTGTTTCAGTTTGATTAATAAAAAATGGCACAGAAACAGAGGGAAAAGCAGAAGGAGTCGTCTTCATCTTCAGTAGTACAAGAGAACGCAGAAGAAAGCAAAATTTTGCCAGCTGAGGAAGAGGAAGTGAGCTCCTACACACTCGTAGACAAACTTGAGGTTTAACTTTCCTAGCATCTTATAGTTTCCTTAAAGATTGCACAATATAATTAAAAATTTTTGAAATACATGTTATCAAGCTTGTGGGTAGCTTTTAAGTAAAAAACACGTGCCTTCCAAAGTAATTTTTACAGTGGTAAAAAGGATAGACGTAAGATTCTGTACGCAAAAACGGAATTTTCTAATGACTGTAAGTTCTTGAACTTTATTTTTACAACGAACATGTGTAATGAAATGTCACACATTGATATTACGGATGGTATCTTTTTCAGTTGTCTCATTTTCGAGTTTGTTAACCTGTTTTAGTGGCAAGTTAAGTTTGGTTGTTAATGAAAAACACAATTCATAAATGGTATGTCAAATAAAATGACATACACAAAGTCTTTAAGGTTTAGGCCACTAAATTCTATGGTACAGATATGAATTTCAGGAGATGATAAATTTTAAATGTTTTATCAGATTCAGAAGTGAGAAAAGTGATTATACTTTGCATTTTATTTGCTTTATTAAGAAATTTTGATCATGCCATAATTCAGTTATTAAAGTTTTTTTGTTTTTTTCTTTGCTTCATTTCTAAACTTCTTTTTTCTTTATTGTAGCAATATGGAATAGCTGCCTCTGATATTCGAAAATTGAAGGACGCTGGCTTTAATACATTCGAAGCAATTGCTTATGCACCTCGCAAGGAATTAGTTGCTATTAAAGGAATTAGCGAGCAAAAAGCTGAAAAAATTTTCGTAATGAATTTTACAAGATTACGATACTTTTATTCTTGAATAAAATACAAGCAGTACTGGAATTATTATTGTAAAAAATCAAGATAACTTTGATTTTTTCGGAACAGCTCATGTACTGTCGTTTGAATCAAGTCCAAAATTGTGCATTGGTTTTGCTTAACAATTTATATCTTAATTCAAGGGCAAAAATTAAGCCTGAACGGTATTAAGAAGCAAAAAAATACATTTTTATTGCAGTACCCTTTTACTTCTTGATTTCAAGTTCGCACACCGCATTTTTTAAGCAAAAATCTGATGTTGTTAAGATCTGATATTTATAAATCATTATATGTATCAAATATATACCACATTTTCACAAAAAGCTTGCATATTAATCTCTCACTTTAGACAGAAGCTGCAAAATTGGTGCCAATGGGTTTCACTACTGCTAGTGAAGTTCATGTTAAACGTTCTGAAATAATTCAAATCAGCACTGGTAGTCGTGAGTTGGACCGTTTACTAGGTGGTGGTGTAGAAACAGGATCCATTACAGAAGTCAGTTCACATTTATATAAGCATTCATGTTCTACTTGTTGACTCCACTATCCAATCTCAATTTTTTAAAATCTTACTGTTCATTCTTCGTTTTTAGACTGTAACCTGTATTTGTGTATTTATTTTTCAGCATTTTAGATATTTGGCGAGTTTCGCACCGGAAAGAGTCAGATTTGTCATACTATGGCAGTAATGTGTCAGTTGCCAGTAGATATGGGTGGAGCTGAAGGGAAATGCCTTTGGATTGATACAGAAGGTACTTTTCGTCCAGAACGATTACTTGCTGTCGCAGAAAGGTAGCTTAAAAAATCGAAATGTTATTGTTTCAAACTTTTACCGTCCATATCTTTTTTAAAGCATTTGATAACTGCGAAGAAGTTTTCTGTTCTTTGGATCTACTTTTTAGTGACTTTCTGAGGCTAAATCAAATTAGTCTAGCATAATTTGTAGACATAAGCTTTCTCCTCAAGATGTTTTGGACAATGTTGTGTATGCACGTTGTTATAACACTGACCATCAGATGCAACTTCTCATTCAAGCATCTGCAATGATGGCAGAATCGAGGTTGGATATAAACTATTTGACATATATGTTTATATCTTAATGGCGATCAAAATATTTAATTGTGATATTAAATTCAAAAAAAATCATGTCATTCAAAATTTTTTCGTCGCTTAATCTCACATTTATTTAAATGTTAGTTTCGATATACATCTAAAAAA